CACACACACACACACACACACACACACCCCTAGGGGTCACTAGCTAATCCTTTCTGATTATATGCTGCCCTCTTGTGGTTGCATCCGAGAACTGCATCTAAAAATATCTACGGGTCAGTAGCTAATCCTTTCTGATTATATGCTTCCCTCTTGTGGTTGCATCTGAGAACTGCATCCATATATACCTAGGGACCAGCAGCTAATCCTTTCTGATTATACGCTGCCCTCTTGTTGCATCTGGGAACCGCATCTATATATACCTAGGGACCAGTAGCTAATCCTTTCTGAATATATAATAATTATATATTATATAATATTTATATATCATTATATGCTGCCCTCTTGTGGTTGCATCTGGGAACTGCATCTATATATATACCTAGGGGTCGGCAGCTAATCCTTTCTGCCTCCTTGTGTCCCGTTGTCCAGGCCAACCCACCGTGCTTGCTGTCCACGGTCCAATACATCAGCAGCTTCTACGCCAACTGCTTGACTGGAGAGGAGTCCTATTGGTGGATGCAGTTCACGGCGGCCGTGGAGTTCATCAAGACCATTGACGAGCGCAAGTGATTGGAGGAAACGGGGGGGAAAAAAAGGACCTCGAAGAATGTAATGCTGCCGGTCTTCCTTCCTTTCCTTTCCTTTCCCTTCCTTCCAGACGCAAAAAGACTTCCGGGTGTAAATAGTGTACAGAGTCCAGGCATTTTAAAGAAAAACACAACCCCAATCTTCACTAATTAGACTAATCCTGATAGCAATTTAGGGGGCGCGTCATTGTTTCGTCGTCTTCTCATTTCGAAGGAAAATATATCCTCTTTCCCATCAATCAGAAAAAAAAGGGACCATGTTGTTAAAAGGATGTTGGGAATCGCCGGACCTTTGTCTCCATCCATATCGACATCTATATATTATTTTTTGTTTTGTCTCTCCGTATCAGACCCCATTGGATCAAGGCTTTGGCCTTTATGGGAAGTTTAAGCTAAGTTTTGTTTTGTTTTGGGAAGCGGGAAACGGGGCCGAGTATTTATTAAAAAGTATTTACCGGGAAACTAAAAACTGGAACGCTTTTTTTCACGGAGCCTTTTCTGCATTTAGTTTAGGGGGGAAAGGGCGTTGTCGTCGTCATCGATCGCACATTAATAGGGTTTATTATAAAGCGGGACGGATCGAAAAGTTCTAATAATATAAAAAAAATGCATCTATACCTTGCTATTCTTTTTTTTTTTGTTCTTCTTCTTCCCTTCCGAAAACACTGTGTATATTGTACAAACCTCCTCCTCCCTCTCGACGGAAATTTTTTGTCTCCCCACCGAAACCAGAAACTGTAATATATATTTTGATTATTCATATTAAAAAAAATACATACGCCGGGTTTTTGAGTTCTTTGTGTTTTTATGGGTTTTCCTTGATTGAGGATCACATAGTACACTCATTCTCCTCCTCCTCCTCCTTCTATTATTATTATTATTATTATTATTATTATTATTATGTATTATATATTATAATTATTATATTTATATTATTATTATTATATCTCACTTTTATCTCTTCGATTGGGCTGGGCTTTAGCACAGCTGTTAAATCACCAGCAATGATAAGATCTGCAAACCGAAAGGTTGCCAGTTTGAAACCCAAGGTCAGCATAAGCTCCCAACTGTCAGCCCAGCTTACTGTTTACCTAAGCGGGTTCAAAAACAGCGTAGAGGTGCAAGTAGAGAAATTAAGTACTGCTAAAATGAGCAGGGAAGGTATTTTACGATACCATAAAGAAAAAGATGCTGGGATTTATTTATTTATTTACAACATTTCTACCCCGCCTTTCTCACCCCGGAGGAGACTCAAGGCAGCTTTACAACCTAGGCAACAATTCGATGCCCTAAAACACAAAGTACACTTAAATAAACATAAAAATAGAATTCAGAAGTACATTAAAACAATTAAAACATTTAAAAGCAATACATTAAGAGTTAAACATGTAAACCACAAGCGTAATCCGAGCCGTTCCAATGGTCATTTCATATAAATCCATCTATTGCACCAGTTCTTTAAAGGCTAGGTCACAAAGCCACGTTTTCACTCTCTTGCAGAAGGTCAGATGGGAGGGGGTGATCTAACATCACTGGGGAGGGAGTTCCACAGTTGAGGGGCCACCACTGTGAAGGCCCTGTCTCTCGTCCCTACCAGTCGAGCCTGCGAGGGAGGCGGGACCCAAGAGCAGGGCCTCCCCAGATCTTTAACTCCATGGTGGTTCACGTTTGGACAGATAAGCTGGGCCAGGACTGTTTAGAGTTTTATAGGCTAAAGTCAGCATTTGGAATTGTGCTCAGTAGCAGATTGGAAGCCAGTGGAGCTAACGTAATGGAAGCCAGTGGAACTCTCTCCCACTGGAGATCAGAACCGCCCCTTCTATCCTGACATTCAGGAAGAAGGTGAAGACGTGGTTATGGAGACCGGCATTCGATGAGTGAGCCAACATCCTGAGATATGGATGGAGGATGATGAACACCGATTTTAGTGCGACGACTGACCATTGTATTTATTGAATGTAGTTGCTGTTTTAATGTTTTATTGTAACATGAATTATGATGTTTTATTGACTGTATGTGGTATTATGGTTGGAAACCGGTCTGAGTCCCTCAAGAGAGGTGAGAAGGTCGGTATACAAAACTTTTAAATAAATAAATAAATAATGGGGGAGTTGTACGCTCCCTGTATGCCAGCGTTTCTCAACCTGGGGGTCGGGACCCCTGGGGGGGTCGTGAGGGGGCATCAGAGGGGTCACCAAAGACCACCAGAAAACACAGCATTTTCTGTTGGTCATGGGGGTTCTGTGTGCCCAATTCTATTGTTAGTGGAGTTCAGAATACTCTTTGATTGTAGGTGAACTATAAATCCCAGTAACTACAACTCCCAAAGGTCAAGGTCTATTTTCACCAAACTTCAGTAGTGTTCACAGAGAAATACATCATAACTCACTCTCTCTCTCTCTCTCTCTCTCTATGTATATATATATATATATATAATAACAAAATAAACAGTATCAATAACATAGTAAAGTCAAACACTATATAGGCCAAGACTGACTTGAGTTTGCATGCCAACAGTGACATCTAGTGGCCAAACTGCCTTAATACACACTCAATGCAAACATAAGCCTAGCTATGGCTGTTTTGTCTAATTGCTAAAAGCAATGGTATTTGGAATTGTACATTTATGGCGTTTACATCTAGAATTATATAATTATTGAGTTGGGAGGGACCTCCAAAGGCCATTCAGTCCAACCCAATTCTGCCAGGCAAAAGACACAATCGAAGCCCTCCCGACAGATGGCCATCCAAGGTTTCCTTTAGAAACTGTGTTGTTCTAATTCACATTTTCTGACCTTTCCCAAAAAAGCCATTTTTATTTGGGGGAGAAAAAAAAAACACCTTTTCCCTCGCCTTCCTCCTCGTCGTCCCTTCCATCCGTTGACCTTGAGCCTCGTTTTCGGCATTTTTCATCCCCCGGAAGACGGCGTTTGGGGACCTTTTCCATCATTAAGTGGATTTACCGCCATTTCCGTATGTGTTTTCTCCAAGGGATTGTGTTATGAGAGACACATTAAATCTCCATTAATACCTCATTATCCCACTGATAAGATTACCATGATAATGAGGCAGAAATTCTAATTGTCTCCCGGTCTTATTGTGCCGTCCATTAAGTCTCATACCTGGAAGCGTGGATTTTTATTTTTTTAATGTGGGGGAGAAGAGGGGGTCCTTGATCAGGAAAGCACCCCAAAAGCATTCCTTTTAGCAGGTATTTTAGTTGTATTTCACATTTTTCCTCCTATTTCTTGCTTGTTACCCAAAGAAATGGGGAAAGAGATCTCTCTCCTTGACAACTAGGATTATAAGGAAGTCTTAAGCAGAGGCTTGATGGCCATCTGTCAGGAAGGATCCGATGGTGTCGTCAATACATAGCAGAATAGGGTTGGATTGGATGGCCTTTAGAGTCTCTTTGAACTTTAGGATTCTGTGGAAGTCTTCAAACAGAGGCTTGGATGGCCATCTGTCGGGAAGGATCGGATGGTGTCTTCAATACATAGCAGAATAGGGTTGGATTGGATGGCCTTTAGAGTCCCTTTCAACTCGATGATACTCCAGAAGTCCAGCAGAAGCTGAATGGTCATCTGTCAGGAGAGATCAGATGGTGTTTTCCACCATGGCAGAATAGGGTTGGATTGGATGGCCTTTAGCATCGCTTTGAACTCCAGGATTCTGTGGAAGTCTTTAAACAGAGGCTTGGATGGCCATCTGTCAGGAAGGATCAGATGGTGTCTTCAATACATAGCAGAATAGGGTTGGATTGGATGGCCTTTAGAGTCCACTTTAAGGTTCTGTGGAAGTCTTTATAAACAGAGGCTTGGATGGCCATCTTGGGAGGGATCGGATGGTGTCGTCAATACATAGCAGAATAGGGTTGGATTGGATGGCCTTTGGAGTCTCTTTGAGCTCTACGAATCTGTGGAAATCTTTAAACAGAGACTTGGATGGCCATCTGTCGGGAGGGATCAGATGGTGTCTTCAATACATAACAGAATAGGGTTGGATTGGATGGCCTTTAGAGTCTCTTTGATCTCTATGATACTCCAGAAGTCTTTAAGTAGAAGCTGGATGGCTATCTGTCAGGAGGGATCAGATGGTGTCTTCAATACATAGCAGAATAGGGTTGGACTGGATGGCCTTTGGAGTCCCTTTCAACTATAATATTCCGGAAGTCTTTAAGGAGAAGCTGGATGGCCATCTGTCAGGAGGGATCAGATGGTGTTGTCAATACATAGCAGAATAGGGTTGGATTGGATGGCCTTCAGAGTCCCCTTTAACTTTAGGGTTCTGTGGAATTCTTTAAAAACAGGTTTGGATGGTCATCTGTCGGGAGGGATCAGATTGTGTCTTCAACACATAACAGAATAGGGTTTTTGTTGTTATATTTATTTATATCCCGTGTTATCTACTCCAAGGGGAACTCAATGCTGGTTGGATTGGATGGCCTTTGGAGTCCCCTTTAGTATTCTCCAGAAGTCTTTAAGCAGAGGCTGGATGGCCATCTGTTGGGAGGGATCGGATGGTGTGTGTTTCCCCCATTGCAGAATAGAATTGGATTGGATGGCCTTTGGAGTCCCCCTTAGTATTCTCCAGAAGTCCTTAAGCAGAGGCTGGATGACCATCTGTCGGGAGGGATCGGATGGTGTGTTTTCCTCCATGGCAAAATAGGGTTGGATTGGATGGCCTTTGGAGTTCCTTTAAACTCTAGGATTCTCAGGAAGTCTTTTGAGCAGAAGTTGAATGGCCATCTGTCAGGAGGGATCAGATGGTGTCTTTAAGACATAGCAGAATAGGGTTGGATTGGATGGCCTTTGAAATCCCTTTCAACTCTAGGACTCTATGGAAGTCTTTCAGCAGAGGCGAGATGGCCATCTGTCAGGAGGGATTGGATAGTGTGTTTTCCTCCATGGCAGAATAGAGTTGGACTGGATGACCTTTGGAGTCCCTTGCAACTCTAGAACTCAATGGAAGTCTTTAAGCAGAGACGGGATGGCCATCTGTCAGGAGGGATCGGATGGTGTGTTTTCCTCCATGGCAAAATTGGGTTGTATTGGATGGGCTTTAGAGTCCCCTTTAGTATTCTCAGAAGTCTTTAAGCAGAGGCTGGATGGCCATCTGTCAGGAGGGATCGGACAGCCTTTGCAGTCCCTTGCAACTCTAGGATTCTGTGGAAGTTTTTCAGCAGAGTTTCAATGGCCATCTGTTGGGAGGGATCGGATGGCCTTTGCAGTCCCTTGCAACTCTAGGATTCTGTGGAAGTCTTTCAGCAGAGTTTCGATGGTCATCTGTCGGGAGGGATCGGATGCTGTCTCCCAGCCTGGCCTTTGAGGTCCCTTCCAATTCTACAGTTTGGCCTCACCTGCCTTCCCTGCCTATTTCGGCCATCGATCTGCTTCATGATTCTTCCCCTCTTCCATCTACGCTTCCCCTGCGGAGCGGTCTGTGGCTGGCAGGGGCCTTGATTGGCAGCGGCGGCTGGAAGCGAGGGCAGGGGCGGCCGCTCATCACTCAGGAGGACCCCCACGGCCCCGTAATGAGGCCGGCCATTAAGGGCTCCTGCTCGTCTCAGCCCTTGCTGGGCCGTTGACTGCTCCCCAGGCAGGGTCCCTGACCCCGGGGTCAAGCGCCAAAGTCCTGGGGTACAACAGGCGGGCGCCGGGAAACTTGGATCCACAAGCCGAGAGGAAAATCTCTTCCAATCGCGCTGAACGTGGCGACAAAGGCCTCCATCCCAAAGGCCATCCAGCCCAACCCCTGGAAGACACGATCCGACCCCTCCCGATAA